TTGCACCCTTCTCCCCGCACACACCCCTCTCCTCTTCCCCCCACCCCCTTACCTTTCATTTTTAAGGTTATTTTCACTTGTTATGGAATTCTAGGTTGGCAATAATTTCTTTTAGAACTTTGTAGATAGTATTCATTGTGTTCTGGCTTCCACTAACTTTTTAGGAAGTCAGTGGCTACTCTTACTGTTGCTTCTTTGTAGGTAATGTATACTGTTGTTTCTGGTGATTTTTTAATTTTTTTCTTTGATTTTTCAGCAGTTTTCTATGACTTTATACTTGTGGTTTATTTTATATTTTTTAAATCCTGCATACTATTCTCTTTTGTTTTAATTTAGATATTTTCTTGGATTTAGTTTAGTAATTTTCCTTTCTGCTCAACCTAGTTGGCTATTTAACTGGTCTCTTCTTTATTTTGGTTTGCATTTTTCCTAGAATTTTTCTAAAATGTCTATTTTATTATTCATAATATTTACAACTTTCTGATGGAATATTTATCTTTTATTTTAAAATATATTAATCATTTACTGTGTATTGAAACCATATGTGCATATATGTAACTTTGTTAATATGCTGTTATTTAAATGTAATTTATAATCATTTTAATTTTTAATAAATGTTAAACATTTAATTTACTTTTTTACTCAGAAAAACAGTATATAACAAATTTTGTCTAATATTAAGAAGAATTGGAATCCAGAACACTTAATTATACTCACCTAAAACCTATACATAGACCAAGAAGCAGTTGTTTGAGTAGAGCAAGGGAACACTGCATGGTTTACAATCAGGAATGGTGTGCATCAGGGTTGTGTCCTTTCTCTTTACCTAGTCAATCTGTATACTGAACAAATTTGAGAAACTGGACTTTATGAAGAATAATGTGAGATCAGGATTGGAGGAAGACTCATTAACAACATACTTTATGCAGATGATACAACTTTGATTTCCCAAAGTGAGGAGGGCTTGAAACATTTTTTGAAGATGATCAAAGACTACAACCTTCAATACGGATTGCATCTTAGCATCAAGAAGACAAAAATCCTCACCACTTGAATGATAAGCAACATCATGATAGATGGAGAAAAGATTGAGTCGTCAAGTTTCATCTTACTTGGATCAGTAATCAATGTAGGTCAAGAGATGTATGGCATTGCATAAGTCTACTGTCAGGGATTTCTCCAGATTACTAAAGAGCAATGATGTCAGTTTGAAGACTAAGGTATGCCTGATTCAGGCCATAAAAAGACCAATCACTTGCTATGCATCTGAAATCTGATCAGTGATTAAGGATGACAGAAGAAGAGTTGATGCCTTTGAGCTGTGTTACTGGAGAAGAATACAGAATGTCTCATGAACTGCCAAAAGAACAAACAGGTAGGTCTTGGAGAGGATACAGCCAGAAAGCTCGATGGAGGCAAGAACGACAAAGCTTTGTCTCATATACTTTGGGTATGCAGCTAAGAGAGGCTATCTCTTGGAAAGGGCCATCATCCTTGGAAAGGTGAACAGTCAGCGAAAGAGAGGAAGATCTTCAACCCCTCACTGTGTTTGACACAGTAACTGCAGCAGTGGGCTCAAGTGTGTTCAAAATGATGAGGATGGCCCAAGATAGAACAAGGTTCAGATCAGTTGTTCATAGGGTCGCTATGAATTGTACTTAACTACATCTAATAACAACAACAGTAACAACAATAACAACCAGAAGGTCAGTAGTTCTGTTCTGCCAGCTACTCCAAAGGAGAAAACTCAAAAATTTCCTCTTGTAAAGATTTATGCCTCCAGAAAAAGGCTGGAGTGTCCCTTTCAGTTGGAATTGACTCAGTGGCTGTGACTTTGCTGTTTAGTTGCTCAGGGTATAGTCCTTGGAGGACACAACCATAATCCTGAAGACTTTGCTTGGGCTCTCCTTTTGACATACCCTGAATTTTAATTTTTGTCCTTTTGGATGTGTGAGAATGTTGACTGTTCTCTGTGGCTTCTAAAACTTCAGTTACCTCCTTAACTTTTAGAATTTCAAATGTGTTGAGGGGAAATGTACCTCAAACTCTCTTTGATTTTTCTCTTTTGGTAGTGGTTCTACAAATTCTCACAGATTTAGTCTCAAATGTCTACACACACACACCCCCCCCCGCAACAACAATAACCTCAAACAAATTTTCCTGTCATTCTCAGAAGGAGATGTTGGCTACTTTGGCAAATTCTTATCAATCTATTCTGAACAGTTGATTGGTTATTTTCTTTATTTTCAACTCTTACATGCTTAGAAAGCTCTCGGGAGAAAGGGGAGCTTGTTAAAAATGCACATTCTCAGGCCGTCTCTTCCCTGAGATTTTGACTAAGTCTGATGGTAGCATTTTTACCTTCAAGTTGATCCAGGTCCATTGACCCCATGTGCTATAGTAGGACTGTCCCAGCCAGCGTCTGAGGCATAATCTTCACAGGAACACGTTGCCAGCTCCTTTCCCCACAGAATGAGTAGGCAGACTTTTTGTTAGTACCTGACACACATTATATCATCAAGGCTCCTCAGTCTGGTACAGGGTCTAGGAATTTGTATTACTAAGTTTCACAATGATTTTCCTCTTTTTTTTTTTATTATACTAGTTTATTTACAAAATTTAAATACATTGTTTTTCAGACCACATTCTTGCAATTTCCCTCACACCCACACCCATCCAATTGTACAATCCCATGATTAATCCCCCTCCCCTCGCACATCCTCATCCATCAGCTTCCACCCTCCCCCCGCCCCCCCACCCCCGATCCGCATACTCATTCTACAATAATGCTTTTATACAATATTTGTCCTTGTGGTATTGAGTTAGTTCACCCAGTCCCTCCCAAGTTAGGTATAATTTATAAAATCCACACTGATTTTCTTTTACATGTTTTATTTTTTTCTCATTGTTGCATATTTTCTTCCCCCCTCCCCTAACCCTCCCAGCAACCCCTTGTTCCAGATTATTGTCAATACATATTCACTATGATTTTTGACACAGTTTATGTACAACTTCATATATGAAATATGTAAAGATTGTATTTAGGTATAATAGAGGCATTACTAATTTCCATTTTAATTTTTATTTTTAAGGATGTCCAGTTGATGCTGTGATCTTGGAGTCACCATTTACCAACATATGGGTTGCAACTATTAATTATCCCTTGTTAAAAGTGAGTCACTGATTTATCTTCATAAAGTATAAGCTGTTCCCACACACTTATGTTTATTAACCCCCTTAACTAGTTTTATGTTTCTAAATTCTTCTAACTTGTTATAACCAGTTGTTATGAAGGGGACATAATGCCTTTTGGATTTGGTAGTCTTTTTCTTTTCTTCTAACAATTGAGTGGCTTAAGAGACAGCTTTTTTGTTTGCTTGAAAGTCTATATTTCTAACCTTTAAAGGAAGCTCTGGTAGCATATAGTCTGTAAAGTGATGCACTGCTAACCCAATGGCTGCTCTTCTCTAATGGTTCAAGTCCACCAGTGGCTCTAGGGAGAAAGATAAGCAGTCTCCTCCCATGCAATTTATAGCCTTTGAGACCCAGGGAGTGTCAGCTTTGAGTAAGAACTGACTCAATTGTAATGAATTCCTTACCTTTAAGAAATGTTGGAACTCTGGTGGCCTAGTGGCAAGAAATTGCACTGCAAACCCAGAGGTATGTGGTTCAAATCCACCAGATGCTCTGCTAGAGAAGGAGGGACAATCTCCTCCTGTACCAGTCAGATCTGATTTGATGGTACACACAAACTATAGTAATAAAATAAAAAAAAAATTAAAAAATGGCAATGTATTTTACTAAAGTTTATTTATTATTTTTCCACTTTTAGAAAGGAAAACAGACTTCTTCTTATGTTTAGAGCGAAAAAGCACCAACTTTGTATCTGTCATGATTCAATGATATGATAGTCTCCAGGAAACTGAAGGAACCTGACTTGTAGTTTAATACAGTATTCTAGGTAGAGCAGATTATCTTTAAAACAAGAATTGAGCCACAAGATAAACCTTTTTAAAAAGTTTATTGTGTAGATTATCTAAATTTTGTAATTTTATTCCATACCTAATGCTCAATTACTTGTAGTCCTAGTTCTTTATAAAAATTAGCAAGAGTCAGAGACTTACGTAGGGTTTTTAGAGGGGCCATAACTTTGAAATTATTTGTTGTTGATAAGGTATCTTTATTGTGGTTTGTTGCTATTGGAGAATTGCTCCACAGGGTTTTCAAGGCTGTGGTCTTCTAGAACCAGATGACCTGACCTGTCTTTCAAGATAGCTCTGAAGGAATTAAACAGCACATACCACCACTACCACCAAATGTTTGTGGCCCCCCCCCCCCGTGGTACCTTAAAGCAAACCTAGGCAGCTGCAAGTCATATGACAGCTGTTTGCAGTGTAACCTGACTCTGAGGTTGTCCCTAAAGTGTCAGCCTAGAAAGCCCTGGCATGGAGTGAGGGGAGTCCAGATGTGAACATTGATCCTGCAGGGGGAGGGGTTTCATTATGGCAGATGACCTGAAGAGATTCCTGTATAAAAAATTACCAAGTGTTGAGGGACTCCATGCTGTTGTGTCTGATACAGACTGAGTACCTGTTATTAAAGTGGCCAATGATATCACTAACTTTCCTATTTATATATTATTTTACAATACAGATGACTGCTACTAGTTGACTTGATTCTTCTCAGAGGGTGCTGTTCTTTATCTAAAATTAAAAATACAGCTAATGATTTTCTCCCCCTACACTATACTATCTATAACCAGTCAGTGTTATGTTTAATGTATTCTTTATTAAATTTAGATGTGATTCATTATCAAACTGTTTCCCAGTATTGGTATGTATGTAAAAAGAATGCATTTTTTTCCATGTATAAGTATAAATAAAATAGTATACTTCAGAAGTGTAAAACAAAGTCCAGACCTATGGTAGTAGATTCGGGCACAGTGACCCTCCAAGGCTGTATGTACATCTTTGAGATGAGATGTCCATCTTTCTTCTCTAGAGCGGCTGGTATATTCAAACCCTGACCTTTTTTTTTTTTTTTTCTATAATTATATTTTATTAATTTTCATAAACATTTACAGAGATTTTGGGCTTCCACTCATTCATTGTTGCACTATTCTCTCTACCCTCCTCCCAGTTTGTTCTTGTCCAAATGCCACAGTGCTTGTCAAAGCCAGTTCTGATTAATCTTCTTTGTCAGTGTATCCTTTGCCATTCCCTATCACTCCTCCCTGAGAGAGACTTCACCCTCAGTCATAAGGAAAAGGGGACGGCATATTCTCTTAGCTACTTCCTGCTGAAAAGGGACGCTGTGGGTTTCAGGGTGAAGATCTTCTCTCACTACTCTAAAGGGCCCCTTTGGCAGTAGGAAACACATAGACTATTATGGAGATTGATTTTGGAATTCAGATGCACTCTTATTGATTGTGCTTGGCTGTACATGTACATATCCTTCAAGATGTATCATGGGGGTGTTGCAACCTAGAAGACACAAATCTGACTAACAAGTTATAAGTACATGAGTCCAAAAATTATGGAAAAGTAAAAGAAAAGATTCTTTCATTGTTTTACAAACCCTCCCCCAGGTCCCCTCCACCATGCAGCCCTCGCTCTAGTCTCCTGTGATGACAGAAATACCCAGTTAAAACCCTGTCCTTTTGGTTAATAGTGCAACATGTAATATATGCTATCAGAACTCCTTAGTATTCCCTTAAGTGTATTTTAATCCAATTACCCACTTTTGGAACTTCCTTGAATTTATATTAAATTTAGCTGAACATTCTCTGGGATAGCCTCTTCATATAATCACATAATCTTGACAATGCCCTTGCTGTCTAAATTCCAACTCAACATAAGAATACCGCTGGCTGTTGTTGTTGTTATATACTCTCGAGGCTGAACTTGACTCATAGCTGACCGGCCATCAGCAGTAAATTGCACAGAATATTCCCCATCTTTTTTCCGTAGGGCAGTTGGTAGATTTGAACCACATGCCTTTGGGTTAGCAGCACCACTCCAGACCACTAAACCACCATAGCTCCCTACGACTGCCCCTATAAAACCTAAAATAGTAATGTTCAATGATTACAGTTTAATAAACAAAACATTTGCAGTTGGTTTTAAAGCAACTTAATACTAATTTTTATAATAATCAATTATATTACTTTAATTACTAATAAGATTATTGAATTACATATATGTGGCAGGATTCAGAGCTACATACAGTTTTTTATTTGTTACTATTGTGTCACTGTGTTTATTTTTTAGTTGAACATAATAAAGTATATAAGACATGATTTAGTGAATAATTATAAATTGAACCCCCAAGGACTATCCCATATGTCATGACATGCATCACTAGTATGCATGAATCTCCTGTAAATCACCTCGTAAATCAAGCCGCACCTTAGACATAATTCTTAGCCTGAATTTATGGTAGCTGTCGTTTCTTTCTTTATAATGTTAACACCTCTGTGTTCATCTTAAGTGCTATAGTTACTGTTTTAAAGTTTTTTTTCATGTAAATAGAATATATAAGATGTATTCAGGTACAATTGTGTAGTATGTAGTCATTATATTTTTTTTAGCCCAATAAAATATGTCTTGTATTTTATGCTATCTATGGATTATATCCATATATATGGAGCTCTGGAGGCCTACAGGTAAGATCTACACTGCAGTCTCGAAGGCGTGAGGCTTGAGTCCATCAGTTGCTCTGTGGGAGAAAGATGGGCAATCTCCTTCTGTGTCATTACTGCCTATGAAAACCTGCTGGAAGGTCAGCTCTATGGATTGGTTCTGACTCACCGTCACACAACAACATACAGCTATAGTTTGACCATTTTCATTATTATATGTTGTTGTTGTGTGCTGTCGAGTTGGAAGTGACCCACAGCCGACCTTCTGGCGGGTTTTCAGAGGCAGTTAATTGCACAGGAGGAAACTGCCTATCCTCCTTCCATGGAGCAGCTGGTGAATTAGAACTACAAGCCTTTGGTATTGCAGTGCAACTTCTTGCCACTAGGCCTCTATTATATGAATATAAAGATATATAAAGCCACTGTTGTAAAGTTTGTTCCAACTGATAGTGACCCTCCATGAGATTTCTGAGTCTGTGCCTCTTTATGGGAGGAGACAGTCCATCGTTCTCCAAAGAAGCAGATGGTAGATTAGAACCAGTAGTAACCTTTCAGTTAAAAGTGTAACTCATAAAGCAGTACACCACCAGAGATTTATCACAACTTATTCATCTAGTCTCCTATATATGTGGGTTGCTTTTAGCTTAGGGAACTTAAGAATGCTGTTGTTAATGAACATTCTTGCACATATGCATGGATACAAGCTTCTCTGGAATATATCCTATTATATATAGGAGAGAAATGGCTGAGTAATAATGGAAGCGTATTTTCAGCATTAATAGTTAACAATGCCAAACCACTGTCCAAAATGATGTTACTACTTCACTCTACTGCTAGCTGTGGCAGTATGTGGGGGTTCCATTTGCTCTTTGTCCTTTTGTATTTGGATAATTTAAGTATTCTTTCTAATATATGCATTCTAGTTGCGTAGTCCATAGTGTGTTGCAAAAGGCTGAAACTCGACAGCAGTTTGAGTCCATCAGTGACTCCTTGAGAGAAATGTGTTTGGTCCCCTCTGTTAAGATTTGTTGCTGCTGTTATGTGACACTAAGTTGGAATATATACATAGCTGACCCTCTGTTGGGGTTTTAGAGTCTGTAACTTGCAGGGAGAAGACTCCCCATCTTTCTCCAGCAGAGCAGCTGGTGGATTTGAACCATGTGCCTTTGGATTGGGAGCACAGCTCCTTAAGATTTACTGTCTCTGAAACTGTCAGTCTGAAATGACTCCAGAGAGTGGGGTTGAATTTAATTATGCCTTAAAGCATTCTCTCCCTAAGCCATACACCATCTATGTAAGTTTAAAATGTATTTTAATTATTATTTCATTAAATGTATTTTCATATGTGATTTACTAATTGATTTATAATTCAGTTCCACTATGATCCAAGAATATATACTCCATATAATTTCAGCCTTTTGTAATTTATTAGGGCTTGTTTTATAATCTAGCAGATAGTCCATTTAAGTAAATGTTCCATGTGTTGAAGGAAAATGGATTCTCCTATTTTAGGGAATGAATGATCTGTCAGC